TACAAATACTGGGCTTTGTTTCATAGAAATTCTTAAATGTATGTAAAGTCCTAGGACATAAAACTAACTTTAGGACTAACTTAAGACCGTTTTATTAAATTTTACCTTTGGTCAAAGACGGTAGACTCTAATGATATTCATTTTCCTGAGAAAAGTTAAGAAACACAATGGCAAACACAATATGTTATTGTCCATCTGTACTGTTATCAGAAATTAAAAGAGTCATAAAATAGGAGTCTTAGAAACGCAAGATTGTCTGTGTTTTGGACTTAAGAATGATTTCCGACTTAAGACTTTCTGACGGTATAATCTAGGGATCAAGCAAATTCCTCTTTACGAACTACATATTTCTATATAACAATGCACATATAAAAATAGGAGTACTAAGCACTTTTGTTTAGTGTTTATTACATGTAAATGGCAACTCATTGCTGTTAATGGTAAGGTGACAATCAAGCTATTCAGAAAGTTTAACCCGGACACATTTTTAACAAGGCGTGTCATATACAAAAATGTTCAATTATATTCGTAGTTTTCAAAACTGCCGACATAAATTGGCGTAAATGGTGGCAAACAGAGTAATCAAAGATGGCGTCCAAGATGGCCACCAAAAATATGAACATTACAACTTACTTTCTTACTTTTACTTGATTTTAAGCAGTTCTTTTCATGAATTTTTGTATAAAATACATGCATGCCACACACATAGTTTTAGTATATATTTTCAATGAAATAAATCTTTTTACAGTGAAACACTGAAAGTTGTGGCGAAAAATGACAAAAATTGCTAATATTTAAAGATGTCCGAACATTTTTCCATGTAAAAATGCAATTTACAAATTCATTGATTAACTCTGTTTATTTTACAAGAAACCATCCTGTACGTAAGAAATGTGCTATAGTATTTTTCATATAATGGTAATTTTAAGAAAATGTGTATTTTCTTAGTGGGTGTTGTAAAATAACAATTGAAACAAACTCATAAATTTATTGTAAGTAACATATTTCTATCTATTTTGATCGTTATTATTTCATATTAACAACTTAAAATACTTTAATATATAATTCATAACAAAGTTCAGTAACTTTTGGATAGAGAATGCAAGAATTGTAAATAGTTTTATAGGCAATGAAGCACTATAAATTGAAAATAGTGTTTCATTTTAACCTTATAAGTATAGCTTTAATAATTTATTTGCAATTTTCTTTCGTTTATCTAAGTTTATACAATCATACAATATATTTCTTGCATATTTCGTCTGTAAATACAAAAACTTATTCAAACATGTATTCTTTCCTTGGTGTGGTTCTACATCCGTTTCCCGCCATTTTATGCAACTGAGTGGATGGGGTACATAACATATTTTGAAATTTAAGACAAAGCAAACAATCAAATAATAGATATTACAGTAAATTGCTGAAATAGGTGAAAAGGAATGTAATTGTAGTAAAATTCTAGAGCAAGTCATTGTTTACCTATATTGCACACCGTGTTGACAACTACTTTTGATGATTTCATCTTTAAATTTAGAAAAGGAAAGTATTCATATGTAGCATTTAAATGTGTTGTTGGTTTTGACAAAAAGGGTCATGATTGTCACATATTAGTTACATAGTTGACCATGGAATAAATAAACTGAAAACATAGTTGACCATGGAATAAATAAACTGAAAACATAGTTGACCATGGAATAATTAAACTGAAAACATAGTTGACCATGGAATAATTAAACTGAAAACATAGTTGACCATGGAATAATTAAACTGAAGGGCATCAAGTTAAAGAGAATAGATTGCTTAATTCAAAATTCTTAAAAACCTTATTCCTAGCCTCTATAATGTCGCATAATTGTCAGAGATATACAAAAATAATAATGTAGTGTGTATTTATAAATAAAATTTCACTTTTAAAATGAATTAAGTTTAGTTAGGTTATCATTTCTTCACTTTTAATTCATTCATTCAAGGACAGAGAAATCTACAACAAACATGCACTTAGCTTGCATGAAATATGTGAAAAACTTGTTCCAAAATTATATGAAGGATATGTCATGTCATGTCCATCGTGGTAATGCCCAGAGAGGAAATGGTAGAAATTAACTTCTTTTCATGTTGAGCCATACTGTAAATTAGTATTAAATTAATCATTTGCAAAGTTTCGTAGCGGTACAGTCCCAATCAATGTTGAGATTAGGAGATATAATATTGTTTTGTTAGAGAATAGGAAATGTTCAGTTTGTCACAATATTGGAATAAATTAGTTGAGGATGAGATTCATGTGTTACTGCACCGTCCTCTGTATATTGATTACAGTATTTTTTTTTAAATCATGTTAACATTTTATCAATTTTGATAGTTTAGATGATGTTGAAAAGGTAAGGATACTGCTGAATGAGGAAGCCATTGTAAATTGCTGAACCAAAACCTGCTATCAAATGTTAGAAAAGCGTCGTGATAGTTTTGTATACTAGGTAATCAGAAACGGTACTAATATTTTATTGTATATAAACATTGTTTGAGCATATGAACATTGTTTTATCTTTCTCTAGAAAAACCTTGTTAATAAATCATATGTCTGATGAGATCAGTAATGTGCTTTTACTGTTAAGACCATTTTGTAATGTCGAGTATTTGAAAACTATATTAAATTCAGTTTTTAACGTTATCAAAAGTTTTAATCTTAAAACATTTTAAACAAGACAATGTCAGGTCATAATTTTAACACAGCTACTGTTGATATCGAACATTAAAGTTTGGGTCTGCACACAGTGTAACACAATACAAATGGAAATCTCTAAGCTATTTTTTTTATTTTGGTTTATTTTCATTTAATTTGACAAAGTTGAAAAAAATATTTCTACATAAAAAGTAAATTGCATTCAATTTCTTAAATGTTTAATATTTAGGTACATGTACACTCAATATGAAAAAGCGAACTAGAAATCTGTTGTTACAATTTAACTGCGTGAAAGCAATTGTTTACAGTTTGTAGTGTATATGAGATTTCAAGAGTTATGCCCCACCATATTTTCACTATGCTTTCCTATTTTGACCATGAAAAACTTTTGTTACTAACAGTAAACGGAATTACTATTTAGTAAACTTCTGAAATATATTTGATTCAATGACAGAAAAATAATGATATCAGCTTTTTATTTATTTTTGTTATTTTTAAATCCTTTAAATTTACAACAGTGTAAACAGTAATTACATCAAACCCCACCCACTCATATGTATATGCTCAATTGAACAATCACTGTAGGACATATCAAAAGAAATGCTAGTATTTATTTAGTTAAGTTATATGTTACTGTTAGAATATACAAAAAAATAATACAAGAACATGGACATGTAAAAGGTCATTAAAAAGGAAGAAAGCGAAAAAGTGCAAATAGATTATTTACAAATATACTTTTTATATATTTATATAATTTTAAACAGTTTGCTCTTCATAAGGTTAACAATTCTTCTCTTATCTAGTCCACAATTACTAGATTTGGTAAAAATAATAGATTTAATAAAATCGTTTTATAAAGTAGTTTAACATAAAGTTATTAACAATTAATTTGACATTTAGATTAATTTGTTATTTCACCCCACCCACTCAGATATATACATTGTTCTAAAAAATTATTAAAACACTCAGCGGCTGGAGAACATACGAAAATGAACTTATTCGTTAACATTATATTTGTTTTTTACCATAAACAACAATTTTACAATAAAAAAAGGTAATACAACATTATGCCTAACATGATCTCGATACATGGAATGCAATAAAAGAACAAAAGCATCTGCTTTAACTGCTTAAAATTAAGTAATAGTGACTAAGTGGTACTTTTCACAATTTTGGCGGCCATATTGGACGCCATCTTGGATTTCTCTGTTCGCCATCAGTAAAGCCAATTTATGCCGGCAGATTTTAAAACCGCAAGGATTTGGGAACATTTTGGTATATGACATGTTTTGTAAACGAATGGGTCCGGATAGCCCCTATAAATAGGATAGTGTTTTCGTAATTGTCACCCTATCATAATGGTATCATCTCTGGTATCCAGCCTCCCCTAATGGATTGCCTTATCTCTTCGCACATGCTAGAGGGGTCCTTCTTTACGTAGGGTTACTTATAAAATTTAAGGGATTATGATCATCAAACGCAATTTCATGGATGAGTACGTTGGGTTTTTTTAATTAACTACATTGTACTACATACAAAACACATACGTTCATTGACCAAAAACCTGCTTAAGCCTAGAAAGTTTGTTCTCAGTATCTTATATAATGTACATCCTGGATCATCTTTAAAGATCGGTTATATCTACTTCTTCTTTTAAATATCACCTAGACCTTCAGTTGTAATATTTTTGTCATAATATAAACATATATAGGTTAAGTTTGGTCATAAAAGTAAAATAACAAAAGTATAAAGTAAAATAACAAAAGTTAAAAGTAAAATAACAAATTTTGGCAAAACGGTGGCCATTTTAGATTCCTGACAGGCATTTTTCATGAGTGTCACCCAACTCTAAATAAAGATAATGGTCTTAGCAATCAGTAAGCAAGAAATTGTGACTACCCGACAAAATGCATCAAATTTTTAATGAAAGAACATGAAAATAGATAATAATAAAAGGGATCAGAAGGGATCAATTTTAAATATTTTAGCAAACGTCCTAAAATATTTTAAGCCTACAATGGCATTCAGTAATGTGAATTGTTATGGGCACGAAGCTTCCCTCTTAAAACACGGGTATTTGTGATTCAAAGCAAATTTTAAGTCTCGTGATAAAGATGATTTAGTTTCTTAATGTACTCATGGTCGTTTGTAAGGACAGCAATGACACCAATAAAGCTTATATCTCAAAATATACAAAAAAATCTATTTTCCAAGCGATTATTTTCGTTCGAAAGAAAAATCATAATGCGTCATAATTTTCTTGTCAGCAGTATTATGTGTGTAAAAAAACTATGCATCAATTAAAACAATAATTAAAAAATACCTTTTGGTTTGATGAAATCAAAATGAGGCTTTCGTTATAATCCACATAACATTCAGTATTGTAGACGATCAAGAGCTTTCGTTAAAATGTGCCAATCACGCAGTCGATTTAACATTAAAACACTGACAATGCAAATCGTTTGTTGAAAGGGGGATCATTGTTTTGAACAAAAAGTATTAGATTTTTGTAAAACTGAAATATTAGTTACACTTATTCAAATGAATGTAAATTGCAAAGTTTTTGACAATTGCCTTTTGTTGAATATATTTGGCTATTATGATCTACTATTATTCTTACTATCATCTAACTAAACATTATCAACTGTAAACAACTTTTGTAATCTTTTTACTAGTATCTGTTTTGTACAGTCTTTGTCATTCTACAATAGAAGTTTTACTAACAAGAGAACAAGAAACACGTTTGGCCCATTCCGGCAGTATACAATGTCGGAAGTGTATTAAAATGAAATTTAACTTTTGAACTTATAATCAACAGGGTCATCTAAAAGTACTGTCTGAGATTCATCAACATGTTGCACAAATCTTGGTTGACATATTAGAACATGAGACTGGTTTGACTGTACTTCTAAATAATAAATTATTATCGATAACCATATTCAACCAACCTGTGTTTCTATTATATTCTTTATTTGATTAATCAGATGTCCTCTGTAAATGAAGAGTGACATAGCAGTGGTCTCAGTAATATGTTGTTATGCATAGCAGGCATGATATGTGTTTCGCAAATCTAATGAAATATGCATGCATGATCTAAACATGAGCCAAGTTCTAAGAGGCATAACTTTGTCAAACATTGGTCCATCGTACCCAAAACAAAAATTGATAAAGCTGTATACTAAATTTCATTTTAGTATGTGCAACCCCTACATAGAAAATGAACGGAACCTGCAAATAATTGTTGTTTTTTTAAGCCCAAGTGTAATTACTCTGTCAAAAATTGTTCGATAACTTTACCTAGTCATTCTTTTGGTAAATCTGTATACCAAAGTTTATTTCAGTATTTGCAATTTCTACAAAAAAATGAACGGAAATAAAAATAATTGGAATTTTTCTGAGTCAAAGGGGCATAACTCTTACAAAACTTGCTTGATCACACCAAAAACAGATCTTGACTTAGATATCCTTATGATAAATCTGTAATCTAAATTTCATTTCAGTATGTGCAACCTCTGCAAAGAAAATGAAGGGAAATTGCGAATAAATGAAATTTTTCTTAAGTCCAAGGTAAAATTGCTCCATAGTATCCAAACAGAACTTGGCATAGATATACTTATGATTAATCTCGTTACAGAATATTAAACGTGTTTGAAGAAAATGAGTGGAACTACAAGAAATTGGTTTTTAAGCTAACTCTGTCGTAATGCTCCATGGTTCCCAAAATAGCTCTTGACCTAGATATTCTTATGATAAATCTATATACAAAACTGCATATCAGTATGTGCAACCTTTACTAACAAAAATATTGAAAACTGAAAATAATTGGATTTGTTTTAATCCAACGGGCATAACTCTGTTAAAAATTGCTCCAACATACACAAAACAGAACTTGGCCTAGATATTCTTATGTTAAAGGGACTCCACTGAGGTTTTATGACATGACGAAACTGAAAATAATTTTTCGAGATTTGTCTAAAATACGCTTTTTAATTCATTTTTGAGTATATTTCTGAATTATTTTTTTGCATGTCTTCCTGTTTTATGTGCCCCAGCTGATCTGTTTTAAAAAAGAAAAATTATGATTATAGGTTTTTGAACCTTAGTGGAGTTCCTTTAAATCTGTATACCAAATTTCGTTATAGTATGTGCAACCTCTGTGACAAAAATGAACAGAAACTGTAACGTTTAGACATTGTTTTATAATATGCTGGTCTTTCTTAACTATTATGATATTTGTTTATATTGCGACAATATAACTCAGCATACGTGACTTTAGAATCTACGTTTAGTAAATGTGTTTTTAATAAATCTTTAAAATCATTTGATATAATAAACGTCTCAGTGATATGATTTTCTAATCAGCCAATGAAAATAAAGTCAAGTTATGCTTGCGAAATGATCTCAGCAGGTATAAACACGTCGAGCAGAGCAAAAATTACTCAGTCTGCAGGAGGATTCACAAGGACTAGGTTATTCTATGTAATTGAAGCCTCGCTTCATACAAATAGGTTAATTTTATCTATCTAATTGAAGCTTTCCTTCATAGGTAGAAATGAATAATTGGTAAAAACTAAATATTAAATTTGTCTCTGGATACTTATAAACTTACATATTTTCTGAAAGCAGAACTATCAGAAATTTGGTAACATATAAGTATTAAAAAATCAAGAGGTAGAGTGAAAAGGAATAAGTTTTATTGTATAGAAATGAATAGTTGGAACTTTGTTGTAAATCCCTACCATCAGCTTATCATTACATACATCTAATAGAAGCCTAGCTTCATAGAAAGTGCGGTAGTTGCTTGATTATGGGAAATAATCGGATTTCAGCGTGATATCTGTATTTGATTTAGAGAGAAAGCGTATGACATGAAATTTATATTGAGTATTTAAGAGCGTATTTCAGGATATATTTAGTTTTAATTCTAGTAAATTGTTCTGTGATAAATGATAATGGCACCGTTGCATGATTTTTTCGTGGCATTTGTAGCCTAATCCAATGAACCTGTGTGACATTTTATTAAATAAGGTCATTGAATCACACTGCATGGAAACATATTAATATATTTTTATATGTTATTTATTGAACAAAAACTTTAAAAGGTTTTATTTTACTTGATCTAATATTTTTACTTTTTAATTCCTTTTTAGCCAACTTTTCATTTTAAGCTATTTATTTAGTGCTTCGTATATTTGTTTATTTATTGCAATCACTCATTTTACATTTTGCTTTTATCGCTGCTTGTCTTTGGCATCGAGGGACAATTGCATTTTTACAGCTTCCTGAACTTTCATCTTTAAACTCTGATTGGTGTACTTCTCTTAAACTTCTAATGGGTAGAGCAAATATAACGTCCGTCCTAGTTGATTTCCAGGTGAAATTAAAACTTTAGCTGACCGACATTCACCACTTCTACATTCTATGAATTGTGTTACTTTACCAAACTTCAATTTTATTTTGAAGTATCATCTTTAACGTAAACAATATCTCCAATTTTAGGTTTAAACTGCATTTGAACCGGGTGATTTTTAAACGTTTTTTTTATTTTTCGCGGAGACTTAACTTGAGTAAATTTTCGTTTTTCCAAGTTTTCCAAAATAAATCTAGTAAGTTTTGCCCTTTTTTCTATCGTTAAAGTAACTTTGCTTTCGTGTTTCAATTAGAATATAATCGTCATAACTGTCGATTTCTTTTTCAGTAATTCCAATTTTCGGGTTATTCGACAGAAAATGAGGAGTATAGGTATATTAGAATGCCAATCATTTCAAACATAAACTAAAAATCTTATATTTATATCTGCTTCTATTTCTTTAATAACATATTGTTACTGCATCATTAGTAACAGTTTTCTACCAACGGCTTTCTTTAATGTCTTTTTTACTAAGGTAACTAGCCTTTCGTAAAAGCCACTCATCCATTTTATTCCAGCATATGAAACATAACTCATTATTACAGCACTTTTAGGAATTTTATTCCAAAGATGATCAAGAATTTTATCTGCCGTACGAAACTTTTAGACACTATCACTGATAAGAAGGGTAGGAGAACCACTTTGTGCTACAAATCTTCTGAAACACATGAGAAATTCAGCTGTTGACAGGTCACAAAAATTTCTGCGTCAAGACATATGCGAACAGGCAAATCCAAACTTTCTTTCCACTGTTTTTATTTATTTATTTTTTGTAAATAAAGGACCCGTGTAATCTATTCCAATTCTAAAAAATTGAATACGTTCGGTCACACGAGATTTTGGATATGAGCAAAAGGGTGGCATTTTGTACGGGCCACCTTCAAATCGGCGGCAGATCATACATGATTTTAACATTGATTGAACAATAGCACGACCATGCGGAATCCAAAAGCGATTTTGCACTATAGACAACGTGGATTACCATTAGCATTTCATTATGAGTTTTTGCTACAATGAGAGGTGTATACTAGTCACATTTTGGGAGAATAATCAGGCAACGTGCACTTTCACTTTTGTCAGCATTTTCAAGTCGCCCCTAGCAACGTAGGTTCCCGTATGTATAAATGTAAATTCCAAGCTGCTTTTGATTATTGTTTGTCTTACCACTAGATATGATATCAAATACGTCTTTGTAATACAAATCTTACAAATCTAAGCACAAGAGCAATAGCTCTAAGAAGTTTTGTAAGTGAAGAGAACCGTTGATTCTTTATTATTAATGGCCTAGTGTTTTCCTCTGAACTGGTGTTTTCAACTGTATTTGTGCCCCGAGATGGTTGTACCAAACAAGGGCGTAGCGCCCATTACGCACAATACGCAATTGCGTATAAAAAAATTCGGAAGGTAAAAAAATAAAGTTGAGAAAATCTAAGTTTTAATGATTTTATCGGTATAATATAAATCTAGATCTCCATTTCTGTTTACAAAATATTTCGTTGCATCATACTGTTTACTAGTGTAAAGTATGATTGCGTCACTCTATTATTAATTATCGTAATATATGTGCAATAGGAATTTAAGTTTCTCGTTAACTCGAAGCATTTGCAAACTTATTGCACAGAGATAAATGAAAAGCTCAGCATTAATTTATCTACAAACTAGGCTCATAATAACTTATCGTTGGTTAAATTCTCAGAAAATAAAAGATTATTAAGACTTTTCTTAAAGATTTAGACAAATCCTTTCTAAATCGTTTCTTTGGAATAGCTATATTTTAAAACGACTTTAAATCTTTTAAGTTCTAGATCAAGATTTTAAAAATCATCAACTCGGGGTTGTTGGTTGTCAAAATGAAAAGAAACATCCGTCCAATTCCAGGACAAGCGATCCTGTTTATGGTCCTAAAACAGGACCCTATTCAAGTCGATAATGAATCTGACCAGGCAGAAACAAAACAGAATTCACAAGACCTGGCATGTGAACCACCTGTGATCAGCAAATCAGACGCCAATGTCGCGTCT